AATATAGACAGAGTTCATCATTTCATGCATGTTACATCATTTGTGTTTGACAAGGGAGGAATGAGAGGTTGTGCGTATGGGTACGGGGGTACTCCCTGTGTCCGTGTTGTTCCCAGATGTTGCCGCATCAAGTGGCAGCATGTGTCATGGACAGGTAGACGTGGAAGGACGGCGACAGGTGAACGGCAGCAGTAGTATGTTGTGCATGGTGACATGTTGGGCTTGTGCAGAGGCGCAGTCCATCTTCGACCACACACAAAGGAGTTTGCTCGTACCTGTGGGGATTTTTCGAAGTCCTGGGTCAGCCAAGAGCAGCAGCAAGGAGCAAACGCAGTGCAGTATACTCTACAGCTTTACAGTAGTCCGTCCTCCTCAAGTCCTATCGCTTAAAAATTCGGGCCCAGACGCCTCTTGCCATTTCTTGGGAAGTAGGGGGCGGGCTCTTCCAAGAAGCGGCGCAAAATGAAGGTCTCATCAGCAGCGTCACGAGCATATGCGTGTCATTGTCATCGAATGCTGCAGCTAGGAGCTAGACAAGTTGCTAGATTTCCCCAGATTGGCTATTCCTGCCTCAAACTGTTGCAGGGCGGTCTGGCCTCGGGCGGTAGGCTCTGCTGTAGCTTATGCTCGCCGCTGTAACTCCACATCGAGAGACTCCCACAGGATGACCGGGGTATCTGCTTGTATCTACGGGCTGGCCCTTCAATTCAAGCTACACAGCAAGCTCCACCTCTCAGCAGTAGTCCAGCTGCAGCGCATCTCGCGNCTAGATTTCCCCAGATTGGCTATTCCTGCCTCAAACTGTTGCAGGGCGGTCTGGCCTCGGGCGGTAGGCTCTGCTGTAGCTTATGCTCGCCGCTGTAACTCCACATCGAGAGACTCCCACAGGATGACCGGGGTATCTGCTTGTATCTACGGGCTGGCCCTTCAATTCAAGCTACACAGCAAGCTCCACCTCTCAGCAGTAGTCCAGCTGCAGCGCATCTCGCGATCTGGCTCTCAATCAGATGCTTCGCTCTCAATTTCACCAATATGCTGTTTATAGTGCTGCCGTCGTTGGGACCTGATAATATGCTACTCGACAATAGCATAATGGTGCATAATGGACGCATTTGGTGGTGTTCTTGGTTGGTAAGCGGAAGAATTGGCACCCAAAACAATTCCAGCAATCCACCGCAAAACGCGCAATTATTCCACGACCGATCAGGAAAACGGTATGAACTGTTCTGTGGTAGCAGTAGAGAGGGACACGCCTGCAGTGCCTGTATAGTCTACACTGCACGGAAATGCAGCATACATACCTGCACAACATGAAATAACTGTCCAAATTCATTCGCTTGAGGCACCAAATGAAACCACAGCTGCCGTACCACGCATCTTTACGTCCGATGACGTTGGGAAGCAGTATACACCAGATGCATTCCGCAGGGTGATAGTAGCACGCACAGTCTGTCACTGGTATAAGCACAACAAAAGTGCAATGGTACAACTGGCCAAACCTTCTCACAGACCGGTATCCCTGAAGAGAAATACACTTGTCGGCTATATTTCTCCAGTGAAAACAATACTGCCACAAACAATGAGCAGCGTTCAAGCGAGCCCTGAAGAAACGGAAAAAATCCGTACAGATCTCAAGAAGGCATTTTTAGCCAAAGCTCTCAGAGATACAACTTTTTTGCCCGACCAGTGAAGAAATAGTTAAACTGTGTACCAAACACCGTTCAGTTTTCTCCCTGAGTCGTGAAAAACTGGGCAATTTACTCTCACAGAGGCTGATTTTTCCATTGCAACCAGGAACAAAACCAGTCAACAGAGCTCCATATCGTGCAAATCCACGAATGCAAGAGGTTATTGACAAATGTTAGAGTGTGGCTGCTAGCATGAATAGGGTACATCTTATTCTTGATAGGATGCGGGTCGGTCAGGAGGNTCCCTGAGTCCTAAAGAACTGGGCAAATGTACTCTCACAGAGGCTATTTTTCCATTGCAACCAGGAACAAAACCAGTCAACAGAGCTCCATATCGTGCAAATCCACGAATGCAAGAGGTTATTGACAAATGTTAGAGTGTGGCTGCTAGCATGAATAGGGTACATCTTATTCTTGATAGGATGCGGGTCGGTCAGGAGGTATACCCTTCTGACCCATACCCCCTTAGAATTGTCTACTCTGTGCACCCCCTGAGATGAAGTTGGATCCCCACTTCATCCCAGACCTTTGCTGATCGTCTCTCAGCAATAACAAGCAACTTTCCCATCTCAACGTGGTCGTGGACAAGCGTGTCAACGACAGAACCTTCATCTATCTCTAGGAGCAAGCTACCGCACACGGCTTCACTCACTCCTTGAAACTTGGCGTCAGCTGGCATTACACGGTGAGCAGGTGCTGGACGCGGCTTCCACACTGCTGTGTGTTGTTGCCACGCTTTTTTCACAACCACCGGGTTGCTTGTTATTTGGTCTCACCACCCACGAGAATCTAGACTTAGCAC